CTTCCGGTTAAGGTTTCTATGCCTTTAGTAAATTTGTACGCAATATTTTTAGAATTAACCACAGTTTTAAAGCTGTTTAAGTGCCGCTAAGCCTTTTTTTTTTATGGCGGCCATTGATTGTTTACATTTGAAACAGCAGACTAGTGGATTTGTTGCCAATCTAGAGAAGCTTAGCTTCGCAACAACAAAGATAACGCCTTCATTTATTATTGCCAATTAAATAATGCTTAATAATTTCTGGAATTTTTTCGAGGAAATAAGTGTTTAAGATTTACTTCGTAATTTTTAATACGGATATTTTGAGTTTTTATGTATTTTTGCCTTCTCGCGAAGCGAGAACTGAATTAATTGAACGAGAAATACTCATTCGTTTGTGAAATGTTTCTTTTTTGTTTTGTTTGCTTAATTTCTTTTATGCATCATTCTAGCTTTATTATAGTATTTGAATAGAACATGTGGCAACGATTAGATAATTCTATTCTTTAAATGATATAAATTTTGTGCATTATGAGTTATAATATGAACGAAATACAATACTGTTAAGTGAATCTAGCGCTAGAGTAAATGCGTGTAATTTAATATTCCGTACAAGGAAGTCATGTGGTGTACACATTAGAATTTGTAATCAAAATTGTTTTATATTCCCTTGCAATGTAGCACGAGACTTATTTGAAGCGAAAGCTACGCCGAAGGAATTAAAAATACAGGAGAACTTTTTAATAAATAGATATCTCGTAATTGTACTATTTTGCTATCCAGAAAAATCGAGAAAACAGGAGAAGGTTCTCGTGCACGATTAAAATTTTTAAATCGTGCAGTCTCGTGCACGATCAAAACATCTCAGTTCAGTTGTTTTTCTTAACTTCATGTTGTTGATTGTAGCGAATTGGCGGTGAGATTTCTCTGTTTTGAATTGAGTTCTATTCGAGTTTTAGTAGCTTAAAATATAACTACTGTGAGATATTACGAATATCTCTGATGTTTCAGATTTTAAATTACGTCCAAAGGGGCGTTTTTTAACATTTTGTGTGTTACCTTTCTTTATTAAATATCATGTTCCTCGCACTTAAACCATAAGATCCAGTGCAACCAGCAATATCGCAAAATAGTTTTAAAACGAGCATATCTTTAGAATTTCCGATACAGAGACTCACGCGCTGGAGATAAAAATGTTTTTTCTGCACAACGTTGCCATTGCTCGCTTTGAAATCCTTGAGTTTGTTAATCAAAAATTCGTCAAAGTTTTAAAAAATAGGAAATCGATCATAAAACAAATTTCAAATTTCAAATTTGGTCTTCCACATGCTCATATTCGTTGGAGGATTACGTTATTCAAAATTCGATGACTCTATGTACCGTTGTTTTATCACATACGAGAAATATACATACATTTATGCAGATTTTTCATTATTTAATTTCTTCAAATATAATGCAGGACTCTAACATTTTGTGGCAACAGTTTGAAAAGTGAACCGACATTTATGAGTCCGACGCAAAATGCCAAAACGAAACTAATAGTCCTTCGGGATTCAAATCCCTTTGGACTAAAAAAAAATGTTTCACGTTTGTCTCTCCCAATGAGGAAACGGGAAAACAAGTTGTTGCGATGTCATTCGTCATTCTGCAACAATGTGTTGAACTCCACATGTATGTTCCTGCATCAGGAGGACAACGAGCTACGCAGTTTGAAGTCCTTAAAAGCAGGAATGTAATCCACATACAGTAGTTTGTTTACTGTCTCAGTTCAGCCAGAGTATGCATGGGACACACAAAGGAGATATTGTGGAATCAAGAATTAAATTATCTTCAAATATTTCATCTAAATATTTTAATAATGCCAAAAACGGCAAAAACATTTTAGCCTAATTTAAAATGCATTCTTTTCTGTTTAAATAATTCCATGCTAGCATCGAGCATTTTGTGATTACAACAAGATATAATATACCTAGTAAAGATAATGCATACGAAACAAATCTTATTACTTAAAAATAATTTTAAGGAAATTCTCAAAATATTCTGTTCAGTTTTTAGAAATTTGTCATATCTAAAGAATATTAAAATTATAAATAAATAAAAAAAAAAGTTAATAAAAATCTTACGTAGTGATGAATTTTTTTAGGAATTGATAGAAAAATCCAGACATTGAAATACTTCCTTTACAGATTTCATTCAATTTTCAGGTGATAGTGATACATTGTTTAAACGAACGAACCTAAATCGAATCTTTGAAATAATGGCATCAGAAAAATGTGCAGAAGGTTGAAGACTCTGACGGTTTGTTATTCACAACCAGTGGAAGCGGCAAGGATTCGTTAATTTTAGAAACTTCTGGAGGCGCCGGGGCCTTATGTCTACCTTGTCACTTAATATCAATGGTTTAAAAACACATAAAACATTAACCATATAGAATTCATGCAAGAAGCACAATAAACTGATTGGAAGGAAAATATTTTTGACACTAAAAAAATTAATAAAATAAAATATAATTGCTTCTAAAGAATTTCGCAACAAATTTAATTTAAATTAACTTTAAATTTGCTTTTATTTGCTTGTTACGAATAGAGAATGTTTGTTAAATTAAAATAATATATATATATGTAATAATAAAATTCCATAGTCAAGAATACACTTAATATTCTAACTGTATGTTCTTTTCATTTTTAATGGCGACGTTCTCTTATTTGAAAGTACGTGGAATTAAATGCACAGCCCCGTAGTCAAGTTGTTTTTCCCGCCTTTTCTACACGTACAGTTATAGAATGTTCTGGAAATATTCAAAGCGAACTGGATTGGCTGACGAGGCTGACGTCATTTCTTGGAAGCTCCGCCTTTCCAGAGGCTATAAAAGGACTCGCAAAAGAATATCGGTGGCTTTTTCTTAAATATCAGGATGCAGTAAACTTCATACGAAAAGTTAATAGTAATTCCTTTTATTTACTCCGGATATCTGATTTTGTAACTGCTATTTCTCCTGAATAATAATAAATGGATCCTGTTTTTTAAACTTATCGTCTGATAATTTAAGCTACGACTAAAGCTGGTACATCACACACACACACACACACATATATATATATATATATGATGTACCAGCTTTTGTCAGGAATCCAGTTCGCTTTAAATATTTCCAGAACATTCTATAACTGTACGTGTAGAAAAGGCGGGAAAAACAACTTGACTACGGGGCTGTGGATTTAATTCCACGTGCTTACAAATAAGAGAACGTCGCCATTAAAAATGAAAAAAACATACAGTTAGAATTTTAAGTTTTTTACGCTATCGCTGAGTTTGTAGTCTCCAACTCTGCTGTTACACTAACTGCTACTCCCCCCTTTTTTTTTTGGCCTTTTTAGCTCTAGTATTAAGCGCCATTTTCTTCGCACTTACTTCACTTTCTCACTTTCATTCTTACACTCACTTTCTTCGCCATATATAATTGAACAGCAAAATTACAAAGATTTTGAAAGCAGCATAGAAATATGAGTTTAGAATTCCCGTCGCAACATTAAGTTTTGGCATCATTTTTCTGCCTTTTCTCGATTCCTCATGTCAATGTTCAGTTCCTTATTACGATGGCTATATAAAATTGTCTTTTTGTTATTAACGTTTCGTGTGTTTATTTTATTTATTAAATCACGTTCTTGGTGCTGACGCCACATATTCGATTCGACAGCAAAATCACAAAATATATAAAAACAGCATATATTTATAAGAGTTTCGCTGTTGCCACCGCTCGCGCTGAAATCATTGAATTTAGTCAAAAATTCGTTAAAGTTTCACAAACTATGAAATAAATAATAAAACATATTCAAAATTTAGGCTTCCAGTCGAGTGCAGGACTACTTTATTCAAAATTTGATGATTCTAGATACCATTTTGTTTTTCACAATGCGAGAAACATACAGACATTCATGCAGATTCTTCATTATTCGATTTCTTTAAATATAATACCAGGCAGTAATATTTGGTGGCAACAATTTGAAAAGTGATAGAAAGCGTTTAAATGTTTCGACGCAAAATGACGTTTCGAGATTAATGTACCATTAGGGTCTAATGTCCCTTTTGGGCTAAAATTTCACATTTAAGTTAAAGGAAAAAAAAGTTTCAATGTGTTTATTTTAAGTTAATATTCATCGATAGTCAAAACTACATTAGAATTGAAATCAAATAAAATATTAAAAATACTAAAAAAAAGTTTTTATTCGAATTTTTGAAAAAATACTATTAACTTTTACAAAAAAAATAAGGTGTGTATTTAATTATGGCAAAGCACACTAAGGCTATCTGCCTAAGGGGAGGGATGCCTTCGTGGGGGACTTTCTAAGGAAAACTGGCTTGTATTCACGAGAAGAAAACCACGAAAACACCCATGCAGCCAGCCCGTTCGCGGGATTCGAACCTCGGACCGAACCACCAGTGTTTAGCGACTTTACCGCTCGCCGCTGGTAGGCCTTTACAAAAAAAAAAAAAAAAAAAAAAAAAAAAAAAAAAAAAAAAAAAAAAAAAAAAAAAATAATAATAATAATAATAATAATAATAATAATAATAAATAATAAATAAATAAAATAAATAAATAAATAAATAAAAAAATTAGAAAAAATAAGTGATAGGCAAATGTGTAATAACAATTTAATGTAGTAATACATACCTTATAGACTTGTTCAAACAATTTTAAAACTTCGAATACGTCAAAATAACAACCACCACAAATTCAAAAATTTGTAAACACAAAATGATGTACACACACACACTTCCCATCAACTCAAACAATAATGACCTTTACACCGTTAGTGGCGCCACCACACTGAAACTTTCAAAACTATAATACGTTAACAGCATGTATCCAATTGATTACATTATGCAGTAAGCTACGATTTACCTAACTAAATATGAGTATGTTGCCAAATAGCAACTACATAATATTTAAGGGTTAAAATATTTTAACACTTTGAAGTTCTGCTTCATGAACAAAGGTTTATATAGTAATGAAAATAACTTACTTTTATCACTGAACGAACAAGAGTCTTATTTGGTGATTCAGCCTTAGTAGGCAAAATCAACTCTGAAATAAATTTCACTATGGTAATCAAATCAGACTTTCGAATAGCATTAATGATACGTTCAGAATGAAATTTAGTCAAATCACCTTCTAAGAATTGGAAGGTTAATTTTATTTTTTTAGGATTGCACAGGTCGGGATCTTTCCTTAGAAGTTTCTGCAGTTTCCAAATATCAGTACTCCATCCTTTACACAAATTGACAACTCTAATTTTCAAAACCAGAGGTGACGATCTTTGTTCTTCGTGCTTTTCTAGTATATCACTGACAATTTTGCAAATTCCAACTGCTTCAGGAATTGATCGACCACCTAAACAACATATCTCGAATGACTCCGAAGATACTAGACGTTCGATGAGGTTTTCTTCATATTTCAGAAGTTGAAGAAAGTGGTGAATAACAACAGCAGAATGTAAAACTGAAAATTCGTACATATAAGCACATCGGTGGTCAGCTTCCTTATAATGGACTCTAGAGATATAGTCTAGGTTTAAGTTGTGGGACCTATCGCATTTGCCTCTCAGCGATTTTTTTACTACTTCCACGAAATCCGTAGATTCTAGTTTAAAACTACGGTAAAGAACATTAAAATAAAAACGATGTAAAAAGCTTTCCACTTCCTGAACTGGATGCTTCAGCAATACAGTGGACATTCTTAAGCAAAGAATACTAAGTTCGTCAGACCTCGAGAATTTAAAAAGAAACTATACCGAGACCGCAGTCTTAGCACTTGTAATACTTTTACGAGTTGATTTTTATCCAGTAATTCCCCTTCGTGTTATCGCTATCAGCTGGAAAACCGCGTTTATTTACCTAATGGCGAAAGTGCAGTATCATGATTTCTTTTATTCATCTATTTATTTTGAAACTGAGTTTGCTGCTATATTTTTTGTGATACGAGGATATATTTTTTGTGATGTATGTTTTTTACTTCCTTGTACGAAGTAAAAAGGAAGTATTGTAATCGCGAAAAGTTTCAGGCAGCATATTTTAACAAAAATATCCATTTTGACCGCTATCGAATGCAATTTAACGATAATTTTGCGTGATATCTGTACGTAAGGACAGAATAAAAGACCCTTTTCCTCCAAAAAAATTATAAAACTGCTTTAAAATGAATTCTGAAGAGAATTTTTCGTAGCGTCTGTACGAACGTATGTACGTACGTACGTATCTCGCATAACTCAAAAACGAGTAGCCTCAGAACGTTGAAATTTTGTATATAGGACTGCTATAACATGTAGAGTTTCTTTACTCTTATATGTTTGTAAATTGTACATTTTTTTTGCTTTAAAAATGATTGAATTATGTTGTTTTTATCTTCCTGTTAAGGTTTTTATGCCTTTCGTAATTCTGGAAGCAATATTTGTACAATTATCAACAATTTAAAAGCTGTTTAAGTGCGGTTAAGTTTTAAATAACATGGCGGACATATTTGCTTACATTTGAAACAGCAGAATTGTAGATTTGTTGCCAATCTAGAGAGACTAAGCTTTCCAACAACAAAAATAACGCCTTCATTTATTATTGCGAATTAAATCATGCTTAATCCTTTCTGGAATTTTTTCGAGGAAATAAGTGTTTAAGATTTACTTCGTAATTTTTAATACAGATATTTTGAGTTTTTATGTATTTTTGCCTTGTCGCGAAGTGAGAACTGAATTAATTGAATGAGAAATACTCAATCGTTTGTGAAAACTGTTTCTTTTCTGTTTTGTTTGCTTAATTTCTTTCATACATCGTTCTAGCTTTATTATAGTATTTGAATAGAACATGTGGCAACGATAAGATAATTCTTCAAATGATATAAATTTTGTGCATTCAGAGTGTCGTTATAGTAAACAAATATAGTTAATTTTAAAGAGTGCATTTATTCTATTGTGGTTTATGCGCTGTCGACGATGTAGATTTAATTCAATCCAATCAATTTAAATGAAATTCAAGAAAAAAAAATGCGTATAATTTAATATTCCGTACAAGGAAGTCATGTGGTGTACACATCAGATTTTTTTATGATGCGTTTTAATAAATGTTAAAAAATCTTGGAAGAGACACTTGAACGAAAGAAAAGGTTTAATTACGGACAAAAATGTAATAAATTCTAATGCTGTTTCTCTAGGCGTATAAATACCTGGCCGAGTAAAACCATTGTCATAAACTTTTAATAGGGTAGTACGAGTAAGTCTATCGAGGTGTGAATTTCTGAATTATGTTTCATTAAATATCGGAATACTGCAACAATTTCAATTTTTCCTATTATATTTTAATTTCTGTTTTAATAGTTTCTTTGATTATTGCAAGCACATTAGGGCTTTCTTAAAAGCACAGATGCCTTTGTGGTTGACTTTCTGAGTGGAATTGGCTGGTACACAAGTTACACATGGGGGAAAACTAGTGAAACCCCAAGGCAACCAGCCCATTGGCCTGGAATCGAAACTACGTCAGAACTACCAGTGTTCGGCGACTTATCCACTCGGCCACTAGTAGGCGCTATATTTGCGGGTCTGCCTTAGATATTTCAATAAAATTAATAGAATCATTCATTAAAATTTCTGCAAAAATTACGTTACAGAACAGAGGTTCTTAAAGCAGTGTCGATGATATTTTAAAAGAGTGTCAATGATGATGATGAAGGGGTAGTTTGGTGTTCGATAGCCGAATATGCGTGGACAAGTCATCAGCAAAGTGAAGAATCCGTTTATTACAAAATAAAATTTATTAATATAAAATAAAATTTATTGCATTTGTACGGATTCGTAATATATAGAATGCACACAGAATTAATAATAGCTTGATAAAATTTATTTTAACAAAAGCAACACTTCATAATTCTGGAACTTTTCCCAAAAATACTCGTACGGCGCTTCATAATATCACAAAGTACAATATATATATATATATAATCAGTAACTGCACTTCAAAGTACTAAAAACGTTAAACACCACGCAGTGAAAAGCGCGTCAAATAAGGCGAAGATGTCACGGATATCTCAATACTCTGCATTCAGCTCTAAACTAACAACAACTCAGAGCAGATGCTTTTTTGGTCTTATATAGTTTTTCATACAGCCGCTGAGAAATCTATAGTAAATTCTATTTCTCGAAATTACTGGAAGTCGTATGAGGGCCGGATACGGTCGCAATTACATAAGGATCAATTATAATACCCATTACAGTTATAAAGGAACTGGGCCGAAATGTCGCCAACTGGTCGTTAAATTTGGTGACTTTGAGCGGTTCCTCTCCAAATTTGGCGACAAAAATCAGTTGCCCAAACTATCACCAACTTGGCGATATCTCGCCAATTCAGCAAGATAACCATTTACTCAATGTTAAATAGTGTTACGAAATGTACAGGCGCGGTAAGATAGCTTCCCCGCGAAGCAGTTTTAGGGTTGCCATAAAATGGCAAGGGAAGGTAGGGTTGCCAAATGGAGAGAAATCGTCCATTTGGCGACAAAATTGGCGATATACTATGGACAGATGGAGAACCTTCTGGAACGAATTCTTACCGGTTTACCCCAGAATGTTCTCGAACACAAGCCGAAAGCTATATAAACCCTGCTGGTCCGCAGTCAGTTAGTGTGTGTACCTCCTCTAGAGTGCGAGTTGTTAGTATCGAGTTGGTGTCAATCCCTGCGGAGTCGATCGAGTTGACAGCCGGGCAGCGAGTGCCGAGTGGGTCGTCGGGTTCACCGAAGGAGTCTCTTAGTGTATCGCGGTTAGTGCATCGTCGAGAGAGCGTGTTGAGTTCCGGGAGCGACTGAACCAAGGAGTCGGGAGCTGTGCTCGGGTGTCGTCGAGCGCATCAAGAGTTGTATCGTGGAGAGTCTCGAGAGTACGTGGAGTTCTGAGAACGACCAAGCAGAGTCGGGAGCTGTACTCCGGAAAGCAGAGTCGGGTGCTTTGCAGTGAAGCTGTCTCCACCGTTATTGCCTGACAGTGTGAAGGTTGTGTCGCTGAACGTGTCAGCGTCTTTATAACAGTTCGACGACTATAAAAGTGATTTTGAAGCTATCTGATTAATATTGGTAAATAAAGTGTGTTTCGATATTTCATCAAGTGTCGTCGTTATTCACTCCAAATCTAAGAACCCCGTACGAACGTGTAGGAAGAAAATAACATAACAACTGGTGTCAGAAGAAAAGAAAAACGCAAAAATTGTCTTGCAATGTATTCTTAGATTCCCGTCAAAGTTTGCTTCTTCAGATTTCCTTATTATGGTATACAAAAAAATACTACAGTTTCACATATGATTTGACTAAAATTATTTACATAGGTACAAAAGTCGTAACAATATTGTAAAACTTATAATTAATTGCTTATTTATTGAAGCTATATCGTCTAGTAAAGAAGAAACCAGATGAAATAACTATAAGGGAGAAAAAAATGCACTAAAATTATTTCCTTTATTTTAAAAATCAATAATAATTTTAGTGTACATTTTTATGCAAATAGTGCAGTGTAAAAAAATAAAAAGAGGAACACACACACACACACACACACACACACACACACACACACACAAACACACACACAAAAAAAAAAAACCCACGCACGCACACACAATGTAAATACAAAGATCGCGAAATTTCTAGTCCGAAAGGGACGTTAGTCCAAATGAGATATTAGTCTTGAAATGCCTTTTGCGTCGAAACATTTAAATGCTTTCTATCAATTTTCAAATTGTTGCTACCAAATACTATTGCCCAGTATTATATTTAAAGAAATTAAATAATGAAGAGTCTGCATGAAGGTATGTATGTTTCTTGCATTGTGAAAAACAAAATGGTACCTAGAACCATCAAATTTTGAATAAAGTAGTCCTCCATCCGCGCATGTCCACCCGGAATTTGTTTCATTATATAGTTCATATTTTAAATTCATATTTAAAGAAATTAAATAATGAAGAATCTGTATATACACATAGCACAATAAAATTGGAGCTGTTCTTTACCTTCCTTTCTACTTACCGACTGACGAAATTTAATTTGCGATTTTTATCTTTTGAAAGCACGACTTGGAATACGTATTAGATTTATATATAATATTGTTATAACATAGGTATCCTGACACATAACTGGACCTTTTTGTTTAAACGACATACCAACTTTTTTACATATTTCGATTCTGCGACTCGAATTATGCCAACATACCAAGTTCCGTAAAAATCGCAAGTTCTTAAAAAGTTAGCTCTTAAAATTTTAGCTACTAATATTAGCTATTTAAATACAAATATCGTAACAATCTTTTTTTAAAAATTAAATTTAAAACTTTTGGTTATTTTATTCTCCTCCTTTTCACAATTAGAAATTTAGGTTTAATCCAAATAAAATTCGCAGATATTTTCTGACTTATATACAGTGGATGGACAAAAATATGGAAACACCTTGTGAAATGCATGTTTGAAAAGAAAGATTGATTTTAATGAAATATGTAGGTGGCGCTGGCGTTTTTGACTACTGACGCCACCTATACTACTTCGTAAATGTGCTAAACAGTTCAGTTGTTGTCGGAGTACTGTTATGTGAGGTTGTCATTGCATTATGTCAGAGTTAACAGACTTCGAACGTGGGCAAATTGTTGGAGCACGTATGGTAGGTGCTTCCGTAAGCAAGGTAGCCGAGGTGTTTAGTGTTTCAAGAGGTACTGTATCGAAGATTTATTCCGCATATTTGAAAAGCGGAAAAACATCATCTGCTAAATCACAGCGCGGACGAAAGTGTGTCCTGAGTGAT